GGTGCACGAGTTAGTAACGAACCTGAGAAACCACAAAAAAATGGTGCAGTCTTCGGATACTAAAATTTAAAACAACTTGGTCCTGTATTTCTAAGGGAGGTTTTAGTACATATTTCAAATTGTCTGGTCATAGTTGGAGACTGCTGGCTTATGTATTGCAGACACTTGCAAAGACTGAATGTTGGCTTGCTCAAATAGGGAAATAAACTTTAGAATTGGTCCAGAAGTATTAACAGTTTTATGTCCTTATTTATGGGAGGTCATTTTAGGCTGAAACTGATCGTAAAGGATTAATGCTCGCTTCAAAAGGGGGCTGGTAAATGTCACAAGATTAAAGAGCGTTGTTTTCAACCATGCTGTCTAGAACATTTGACAAAAATGCAGAGCAGAAAAGATTACAACCTAGATCATGTACATGCCAATCTTACAAAATAAATAATAAACTGAAATGTCTGTCTAGTTTCAGGTATAATGTGAACTGCAGTTCCCAGAGCTATGCTTAAGTATGAGATTTAAAAGTGAAGAGGTAGCCGAGTCCTGATGCCTGGGGCATTGGCCTGAGCATTGTACTCTCAGATACCAACAGCTCAAGGGGAAGCTGTCAGTTCTCAAGGAGATATTTTGTCCTTAAGTACAAGATGATTTTCTATATGCTTTTAACAGAAATACAGTTTTGAAAGCATAAATGAAGGTCAGTCAAGGATATATTAAAAAAAAAAAAATCAGCAAGGAAATGAATGAATGTTGTATGCTGTTGCAAATGATAATATTGATGGACCTGCAGAGGGTTGTCACATGCATTAAAATTGCTGTGAAAACCCCGTATTTTTCCTGGGACAGTTATCAAAAGCTTTGATTGCTTTTTTTTTTTTTTTTTTTTTTGGCTTTTTTTTTTTCTTGCTGAGAGAAAGAAGCTTGTCTAGAAAAACAACCACAGCTAAACAGGTGATCATGAATGTCAAACTTGATCTCACTAAAGGTAATACACCTAAAATAGTTTTGTAGATGATGCAGTTCATTGGGCATTGGTTTAAGGCATTTGGGTTCTGGCAAATACCTGCTAGACCCTACTATTCCTTATTTCATGGGATGATTAGAATGCTCTTAAAGTAATAAAGTTCAGTCAGGTACCAGTCCATGTTTAGCGTTGCTGCATTTCAGAATGGAGCCAGAAATGCCTGGGTTTTCCATTGACTACTTTTTATCTTAAAGTAAATGCATTATTAGCAACCGGTATTGGAGTGACCACGGACCTATAGTTATATAGAGAAAAACAAAAACCATGACGTGGTGCTCAGAGAACATTTGCTGCAAACATTAAAATAGCACTCTCCTTTTTTTTCCCTGGGGAGCAGTGCCATCAGCAGCAGCATTACTGCATCATACACTGTTGTCAACCCCAAAGAATGCATGCTTCAGACAGACAGATGACATCCCCATGCAGAAGGGAAGGAAGAGATACAGTATTGGCTCATTGTTCTGTGGATAACTCACACAGGTGGTAGATTTACCATACTGAGACAACTGAACCCAAAGAGATAGCAGCACAACAGCAGCTTTTATGTTTTCTCCTTCCTAAAGACAGTAGCGTAACCAGCAGATCAGCACTACATGACAAGACATCTTAAAGACTGAATTGCCAGTAGGTTTTAGTTAGCACCAGTGATGTTTTCAAAGTTATGCATTATGTTAATTTTCATTGTTAATTATTATTGTGTTATGTTTGGCTAGGAAACGAAAATATGTTGAGAAATGTGCTTTTGAGCTACTGGCCAGAGCCATCTGGAACAGGTTATTGCGCTGCTCGTGTTATGAGATAGCATTTAGAAGTCAGCCACTGAGTGAAGCCGACCTCAGCTGACAGCATAAGGTTAGTCTGTCTGTGGCAAAGGAGAGGGAACCCTCCCCAGATACCAAGAGTTTGCAGTTGGCATTCTGTGCTAGGAGGTGAAAGAAATATGCCCAAATCCCTTCAGGCAGAATTAAGGTTTGAGACCAAGTTTCGCGTGTGCTTAGTGCTGTTCAGATGGCAGCAGGGTGAGAATTGTTGCCTGTTGTGTATTATATTGGCACATGACAATATCAAAAACTTGCTTATTTGGCAGTCTTAGGAACATTTTGATCAATCTCCAGGGTCAGATTCAGCCCAGCCGGTGAATCTTGTTGGTGCTTGGGTGCAGTCAAAATGCAATCAATTCTGCAAATGCCCAGCAGTTGTGCTTTAAGTGTTTTACCAGTTTTTGTGATAGAAAATTTGGTCCCGTGAGTTTTGGTAGAGCAAAATGGATGTTTTAAGCATCTAGAGTTTGGACATAGGCCTTTAAAGTGTCAGTTGTAGACTTTTCTTTTCTTTTCTTTTCTTTTCTTTTTTTTTTTTTTTTTTTAATTTACTGAATTCAGGTCTGCATGACTGTGTAAAAGATGTCTATGACTTGTCACTTTCAATGGCTTTGGGCTTGCACATTTATCACCATACACATCTGTGTAATTTGACTCTGCTCTCACAGTTTGACAGTGTCCTTGGGAATGTTCAGAGAGAAAACTTGAAAAAATTATAAGATCTAAGAAGGGTGTTTGGCATATATAGTTCTGCAGAAGTAAATATAATACCAGAACTTAAAAAGAAGATGAAGTGTTGTAAAAGTTAGTAGATGACAACTTACATTTGTGAAGCAGACTTTTTGATCAGGAATGCTGAGTGTAATTAACTCTCCCTGAGTTCCCTGGCCTAAATACAGCTTTTGTCCTTGCATTCAGAAGCTGTTACATTATGTTTTCTGGTGCTGAGGGTCACTGTTTACCAAGTGTTCTGCATTATCTACAGGAGCATGGTGCAATTCATACCTTTTGTGGAGGGTAGAGTTAAGGTTATGCTACACAGCTTGTGTGTCCTTTATATATTACAATTTTCAAAATCCAAGTCTTAAACATAATTGGAGCTATAGTTTCAACCTTAGCTACGCACAAAGAAAGCTTTCAAGACCATATTCAGTTACTTACCAGAACCCCATTTTGTACTGTGAACACCTCCTCATGAAGACAAGGTCAAGGTAGTCTAAATAAATTAGAGGATTTTGGAACAGGGAGAAACAGTTGACCATTGAAGTGAGAGTGCTGCTCCACCTAAGTCAAGCCACCAACCTCAGCATAAATGGTGAAGACATCAGTAGATGGTGTTGAAAGATACATTGAATAATCTGTCCATTTATGGGGTGAACAAAAGAGGTTGTGTACCACAAATGTCTCCCTTTCTGCAACTTTTCATATGAAAGGGAGATGTGAGAAGGGTGTGGCTACACCTCATTATTTTGTGGCTGATTGTAGTTACTGAAAGGTACCGCAAAAATTTCACTTAGCCATAACATTGAATCCTTTTATTTAGGAAAAAATATAAAAATAAAACCCACCACACTGTGAACTAGCCCAAGTTGTGGTTTCATATGCTTTTTATACTCTCAATTTTATCCACTCAGTCTGTCTGATGGAGTCAGGAAAAAGCAAAACATTCTTAAGGGAGCTGCTTAGGTGATCTGGATTCACCTCCTCTCTCCAGCGCTGGAGCACCTCTTCCCGTTGGCTGATGAATCAGGAATCTTTCATCTGGGGCACTTTGTGAGCAGATTTGTGCTGAACCCATACAGGGATTCTGGCATGCATACTATGATTTTGCCATGTAAGGTGAGAAAAATTCAGTAGATCAGGAAGTGAAGCATCAATAAAAGTAAGAAACAAGTCCTTCATCCCGAAATATGGATCCTCAGAACATCTACTTTGCTGTAGAGCTGGTTCTAACAGTTTCAGCAGATCTTCATACACCTAAAATAGAGAAAGTGATGCTACTTTTAGCTTGCTAGCTCTCCAGATCACCGAGTGTGTTGAGCAACACTAGACCTAAGATGGAACCATGGTATAACTAACAGTTAACCTTTACCACAAGGAAAACTTGCCCAGTCCTTGCTTTCCAACTTCTGTTGGTTTTCTGATCCATGACAAAACTTTACTCTCAATGTGCTCGGTTGGATTGTTCACAAGTATCTTCTGTGGGTTTTTGGTAAGTTTTGGGAAGTCTATTCAAAATAAATTAATTGGTTCTTGTTTATCTGTAAATATATTGACACTAGGAAAATGTTTAACTTTCCACACAACACAAGTGATGTAAGGAAGTCACTGAGAGACAAGCTGTCAAAAGTGGCACTGAGCTTCTGGCGCTGTAATTTTTGAAAAATCATTTGGACAATTGCAACTAGTTGCATACAGAGCTCCTGTGCTTTCCATTGACATAAATATGACTTGTGGGTGCTCAACAGCCTTGAAGAAGCTATATTTTTGTATGTAAAGCTGTTTATCCACACTTAGAAGCCAGTTTTATGAATATCTATTCTAACAACTCTGTTTCTTAGTTTCTCAGTCCATAATGGAGAGACGTGTGATAGATTTTATCATGTCGGACCTTTCATGTTCCTTGGGAATAAAGGGTTTCCTAAGATGGAAGCCTCTACAAAAACTGTAAGTATTCATTTCATGTCTATGTCTGCATTTAATTTTAGTGTTCATCTGTGGATCTAGCACAATCTTTGCAGCATCTGATTGCTCACATCTCATAAGTGTACTGCTTGAAGATCTGCCTGTGACAAAGCTGCAAAACACCTGAAAAAGTACTTTATTTCCTTCCTCTTCAGTCATAACTGGAGATCTGCAGGAATCATCTTTCCTGAGAAATTGCATTTCACAAGCTCCCTTAAGCACGGGGTCTACTTGAAAAGGGCCAGTGTTTGTAGACAGACCATTTGCTTTTGTTTGAATGTTTAATTTGTTTATTCCTGTTTTCAAGTAATCCCTAAGCAATATAGTTCCTGTAGCTGTGATGGTTATGAATTCAAGTTATTCACCTCCCAGAGGGTCAGAACTTTCATCGCTATGCCATTGGCACGAAGCAGTGAGTGTTGCATATTCATCGTCCGAGACACCGGTTAGAGGGCCTCAAAAAAGCCTGACTTTTTTGTTCTCAGAACAAGGAAAACAATCCCTTCCCTTCTCCGGTCCCTTGATAAGAGTTTCTGTCCAATAACGGTGCTCTCTGCTCTGAGGCACATTTAACTGTGAAGTTTGCAGCGGGAGAGGCTTTCCTTCAAGCTGTTAGTGTTTTATCCTGGCAGGCTCCTCGAGATTGTTGTGAGGAGTCTAGCCAGTTGGTGAGCTTTGTAATCTAAACCAGCTGTCCCAGGCTGAGGCCCCCATTTGCATTGTTTAACATACTTAGAAAATGAAGTGTTCATTTTTAACATTCCTCCTCCAATTGGTTTAATGCTGAATTACAGAAGAGAACTAAGCAAAACCAGGTGCTTTCTCTGTATTCTCTCCAGTGTCTGAGGAGGTACAGACTGCTCCCGATCTTCTCCATTACTTGCTATTTCATTCTTTGGACTATAAATGACTGAGGAACTGAAGTGCTAGCAGAGGGTAATGTTTGGAAACACTTTCTAGTTATTCATCAGCACAGGCTCTGGTTTTTTTCCACCTTTCCCCAACAGTTTTGGACATGCAAGGATTAAAAAGGTAAGTGCTATGCATGAAACTTCTTTACTTACCGAAGGGAAACCTACTTGTGGAAAATATCTGTGGCAAGGATTCAGTATGCCAATCCACTTGCTAAAGCCATTTGCAAAGAGACGGGATCTCAATGGTCAGAGGTGGGGAAAGTCAATCTGTCTGTTATTAAAACTGTGCTATCTCTGAAGATTTTCTTCTTTATCTGTGCTTATATCCTCCACTTTAAGAACCCCAATATCGGTGAGAGTGCTGAATTGCAACAGCAAACAAGCCCCCTGGCTGCAGTGATTGATTTGAAGCTAATTAGTTACTATTGCAGAAGTTAATTACTAGTTTAAAATACTCTGCCTGCTGGACGAGCTACTGTGACCAGCTGAATAAAGCATTGATAGGCTGTGCTGTATGTCTGCTGATAATTCTTGAGCAGATTTGAGATCTCAAATAATGGGCAAACTGCGATGGTGGCTGCAGACAGAACGCATATGAGGCAATAAGGTCACCCCCACCCCAGGAGAGAAGAATATATCATCTTGTAACAGCGGAAACTAAAGACCGCCTAGAAAAGTACGAGTTCTGCCTGACTAATTTTATGGCAGATTTTGCTAGTGTGTACTGCTCTGCAACACCGTGAAGTGCTCCCGTGTTGCTACGTATGTTAACACACAGCTATAACCTGTTGTATTTCCTTCTAGTGCTGCTCTTGCTATGCACAGAGTGAGTGTGCAGAATTTATAACCAGTGCCAGATTTAAAACATCTTCAAAAAATTTAAAGGATTAATAGATGAAGTGCAAGCCTAAATAGATAATGCTGTACTTTGAATGCTTTGCATCCGACTCTTACGGAAAAGTCTGTGTAGAATTTGCTTTTCCTTGTCACTCAGAGGCTGCCAACAAGCACGATCTGCCTCCGCAGCACTATGAACAACCATTTTAGGGTTTGTGTTTACTTTTCAGAGCTTGTGCCTGTTTCCACATTTCAAGCAAATGTGTCCAAATGTGTCGGTCTCTGCTGGTGCATGGTTTTGTCTGATGCATTTGTAGGTCTTGTTCAGCGGCTCAGTTTGCACTGGAAATCGGAGACAGCTCTAAGAGAGAAAGTTGGCAGCTTAGTGGAGTAGCAGAACTGAGACTACCTAAAATATCCTGCGCTTCCTGTGCTGGTTTTGTGGGAAATGTATACAATTGCCGTTCAGAACTAGAATCCAAGCTAAGCAAGGTGGGGGTTTAATAGTATTGAGAAGAAATTTTCTATAAGGCAGAGGCAAAACACTGAAATCTGTAGTACAGAGAAAAAAGAAAGTATTTCTTGCTGTCCTTTCCTGCTTTCCTACTTGGAGGTGGGGGGTTGATTGATCGGAGAGCTTTCATGCTCCAGGTAAAGAGTCCCCTATATAGCCACAGAGCTCTGTTAGCGAGGGACCCTCTTCTCTCAGCTGCAGTGAAGAGACCCAGCAAGTCCCGCTAGATGCTAAGATGACTGGGGATGTCTCCACTGAAGATAGCAGCTTCTAGTAGCTGATGACCTGGCACAGTGTGTCTACTTGCAGAGCAATGTAGTACTGAAGACTGAGGAAAGGGACAGAATCTGGCCCTAAGAAAATGGATTAATCTCAGATATAGTCTCCTGGGGATGAAGTGCGGTTTAGCAGCTAGCGCAACTGGCGTGGATTCAGGACCTCCTGCATGACAAGCCTGCAGTCCTGCCAATGAGTTGCTCTGTGAGCTTAGGAAGGGCCCATGTGCTGGTTTACCCATCTGTAAAATGTGCACAGTGTGCATGAAGAACTTGGATATTGTCAAAAGAAAGGTGTCAGAGAGAGGCAAAAATGCTTTACTGAATATTATGTGTTTGTTCATTAAGCAGCTACTGCGTGGTGTGGTATTAAAAGAAAATATTAGTAAATAGTTATGTACAAATCAATTCTGATCCCAATTTCATAAAACCATAGCAAAATTAATGACTCTGAGATCTGAATCTGGCCCACAATCGTATTGCTCTCTCTCCAGAGGCCAAATTCATGTTGACAAAACTCTGGAATGCACTGAAGTGTCACTACAGATTAACTTGTCCATGTGTATTTAATTCTGTATAATGAGCCTGGATATCAGAAGGTTTTCAACCTATTTTCTATGCACATTACAGGATACTGACTGCTTTCACACTGGCCGTCTGCCTTTCGAACCCTGGAAAAGCACAGGTGAGAGGTGCACAGAGAGATCTCTGTACTGTTTTATACTGAAGCACTATATGGCATGAGACTTAACTGGCTAGCAGGTGAATAGGAAGCTCTGTGGTCTGGGGTTTACATGAAAAGGAAGCTGTGTGGTCTAAGGGTTTAGAGGGGAGGACTTGGAGCCAGCAGGATTCTGGAGTTGAACATGGACTTAGCTTTTTGACTCATCCTTGCCAGCTCAGCAAAATATCTCTGCAGAAACCTGGACCTCACTAAAAACCTGATTCTGCTTCTGAATTGAACATGTCTGAAAAAGGAAATAAGAAAAGTCATCCCACAAGAGCAGGGACAGTTCAGTTCTGTGATGGGGAACACCAATGTTTGGAAAACTCAGTCACGTAAACAGGCATGTTCTGTGCATAGCAGTCTGGCAGAATCTTAAGACTTTGTTTTTGGACTGCGAGCCTGAATGACTGCATCCTAGCTAGGGCTTCGCTTTAATTTGTGCCCAAAGCCATTTTTGTTCAAGATGCAGGGCTTTTGAGGGTGGATGGAAGTAGAGCAGTCCAGTTCTTGAAATAGCAGAAGCATTAGTTCTTTGTGTTCTTGGGCTCCAAGTGGACTTTAAATTAGGAAAAACAGTTCCCAAAGGCATGTTAAGCTTGGATTCCTAGCTGATAATCCAGATATGCTCAATGTCCAGAGCTGTGTTTCTAAATACCTTTGCCAAAAGACTTTGAAAAGTAGTTGTGTTTTTCTTCTGTTAGGTTGAAAATTTCCTGCATGTGGCATGCTTACTGATATTTTTGTGAAAATTGGATCTGTATGGGAAATGCTTTTCATGCCCCTCGAGAATTTTTGAGATGTCTTTAAGGGTTTGTTTTTATAATTTAAAAAATATTATTTCCAATGTTTTTTTAATAGAAACATCTTGTACCATAAATTAATTTTGAAGTCCAAGCAAAAAAACAACTTGAAACCAAAATGATAGCAACAAATTCTTTCTGAAGATATTGAAACAGGTCATTTCAATATTGGAAACTTTTCTAGAATAAAGCCTAAGAAAACTGTTGAAATCACTTCTACAATAGTCTCAGTGTTTCTGAATCATGGTTTACTGTGGGGAAAAAAAATAATTTTGTTAAAAACTAACCCAACTTTTCCATCTAACCTGGTTGTAGTGTGTGAACTACAGCACAGGAGAAAATAGGAAAAGGTTGAGTATGTAAGTTCTCTAAAACGTGAGGCTGATTATACATTCACTCATCAGAATATCTTGACCTTCCCCACCATGATACCAAAGTAACTTGTAATGCCAAAATAAATGAAGGCAGAATTCTTTCCCACATGTTTGACACTATTAGTAGTGGTTCTGTGTATTTGGGCATGCAAATGGCAGGTGCAGTTCCAATAGTGCCATGTATTTCATGCCATGTCCCCTCCCAGCTCCTGCAGTGGCCCACTTCCATTGATTAATCTATCTCACACCTTGTCTCCAACCTACAATTTGCTACTTCTCCAAACATATGCAAAGTACTTTAAGGGTTTCCATTGATTTTTTCCACAGAGTCCAAAACGAGTGTCTTTAGCATTTAACAACAACAACAAAAAAGGAGGAATCCTGAATACACTCCCACCATGTACCCTTTGGTTCCTTCAGTGGTTTTTGTTTTCTTGATGTCTCTTGCTCACCTGCCCTACCATTACCCACTTACTGGAAGGATCCACTTGTGTCAATTGCATGGCCCACTGCCACATGCCCAAAGGCTCTGTCAAAAACTAGGGAGAACAGGGAATCATTTTAATGGGTTTTGACAAAAGTCACTAGTTAGAAATGCTGAGGAACATGGATTAGGTGTTGAAGACTCCAGGTTCCAGCCCTGATAAAGACCAGCAGTGTAGGATAGGAAGGAATAAGGTTTCCAGTGACTTTGTATGCATAGAACACGTGTTGTGTACAGATTTATCCCCTAAAAATCCAAATGTTTTGTGTGAACTAAAAGCCTTACTTTTTAAAGTTTGTGTTTTAACTCTGGCTTCAGGTCAGCTGGCTAGCTTCTCGAGAGTTATGTACTGAACCGTCTACATGTGGAGTTTCAAAGCATGTTAGAGAAGTCAGCTAGTACCTCTGAACCAATGCCCCCTTGTTCTGGCAAAAACAAGATCCCAAAATAGAAGAACACAGCTTCTGTGTTAACTCCTGGTAGGGAGTGTGTGGCACATCAGGTGTTGGCTATCCCAGCATATCCCAGCAGAAAGTAACAGCCTGAAACGATCACCACCTGTGGGAGTGGCCTTCTGGGTTAAGGGGCTGTCAGGCGCTGGAGGTCTCAGGTTCATTCCCTGTTGCCTGTCCTTTGGGGAAGGGACTTTATTTTGATGTCCTGAACATTTTGGTGTGCTGAACAGTTCTACCTAGCGTGATAACCCAGGTGAGCATCTGACTCTGCAGCTGTCTCATTTCACAGTTACTGAGTGTCCTTTGTTTTCTCCTTTTAGCAACAATGCACTAATGGGTTTGACCTGGACCGTGCCTCTGGGCAATGCTTAGGTAGGATTTTAATTACATCAATGAATTTAATTCGGGGTTCAGAAACACTGCCTTTGTTAACTTTGTGCTGCTCTTGGTATGTTTTAGGTGAAAAGTCCTTGCTGTGTGATAAATGTGTGTGTGAATAAATATATGTGTATATATATAAATGTGTGTGTGTGTGTTTACATAGCCCAAGGATATATCAGTCTGTGACATGGGGATACTAACTGGCTGTCAGTGCTTCCCAAATACTTGTAATGCAGTGAAATGAGTTTGGGAGCTCAGTCCCATTGCTAAATAACAAGGGTTGTTCATCCTCCTTCTCTGTCTCCTCCAAACTCAGTGTTCTGTACCTGGAGGCCCCAGATAAAGTTTATTACTGCTCTGTGTTGAAACTCTAGGACAATCAGTGAAGCAGGTGTAGGGAAACACTCACTTTACCCTATAGCATCTTTTCATAAATGAATGTGAAGGGAGGCTCTCAGTCTCCAGGGCAGCATCTTCTGCATGAATTAAAGTCTCTCAAACAATGAGGGGGAAAATGAGCAGCAGGCTGCTTGCTCTGTCATGGCAGTCAAATGCTTCTGTGCTCTGAGAACCAAACATTCGGTTTGGGTAAACCACTTGTATCTTTCTAAATTTGATTCAACAACAATCACAATTGGAACAAAAAAGAGGCCTGAACCACGTCTCCAGATCTGAACATCCCTAACTTTTTCTGTGGGAGGGAGCTTGGGAGTTCCAAATCAGAATCCAAATTTCACAGCTGGGCAAACCAAACCACCAGTGTTTGAAATCCTGATCTGCATGTTGTGGTTTGGACAGACCCACTAGCAGGAATAGGCGGTAGCATGCTGTAGCCATGTGTAAATCAGTATTTAAACCGAACATTTATAGAATAACAAAGCAGGCTTTCCCCTCTCCCTTTAATGCTGAATTAAAACAAGTAGAACACAGGATATATGGAATATATGGGAAGTTTCCTGATCTAGTGCAATCTAACTTCAAAGCAAGGCTCTGCAAAGAAAGATTAGCCCTTCCGTTCAAAGAGAGTATCAAATTTTTAGCAAAGTCTTGATTAAAAAAAAAAAAAAGTTAACTGTTTTTCAGATAGCTCACGCTAAGAAGCGATCACTCACTTAACTTCTGCAATTTCCTTCCAGATATTGATGAATGTCGGACTATTCCTGAGGCCTGTAGAGGAGATATGGTGTGTGTCAACCAGAATGGTGGCTATTTATGTGTACCCCGAACAAACCCAGTGTATCGATCACCATATCTGAATCCTTACTCAAATATTTATCCACCGCCCCCAGCACCAGGCCCAGTTCCTAACTACCCTACTGTTACAAGACCTCTGATCTGTCGATTTGGGTACCAGTTGGATGAAAACAACCAGTGTGCTGGTAAGTAGTAGAAATCTTTATTCTGTATTTTTATTTACATTGAAGCTTGTCTGACATTGAAGAAACAATTGTCCTACAATTGTCCTTTGGTTATTCTTGTGTCACTGAAGCTCAAGATGCTGAAACTTATTTTAAAGGGTGTGAGCTGTACATTCCATATAGTCATAACTCAGTGCAAGCTAAGACATGTTCTAGTCTGATTATTTAATGAGGAAATCTGCTTCCATGAGAGAAGTAATTTTTTTATGACATAAAAAACCATCTGATGGTAGGTGATTTGTTAATTAATCAAAAGGATGCCTTTCATGCTTAGGATTTTGTCCTTGAGAGATGGCATGGCCTGCATTTGAAGTATTAGGCTGGGACTGAGGAAATACTGATTTGGTTCTTGGTTGTATGTGACCCTGTCCAGATTTCTGGATGTAGGTCTTTCAGCTGTAGATGGTATAAATAAGAGTTGTTTCTTCCAATGCTTTGTGTTCTTCACTTAGACTATGATGCCTTTGGAGTACATCTTATCTAGAGGGTATTACACAACTCTTGGTACTACTACCGGTGCCTTAATGACTATAGACTTCTCCAGCTGAGACTGGAAATCTCTTGTTCTAGGTACTGCACAAACACACAGAGAAAGAATTGCTGCCCCAGCAGACCTTTGATATTTTCTTAGGACCTTGGTGTTCCCCAGCCTCCAATAATAATAATAATAAAATAAGTAACTCTGCGTTCTTGTGTTGGTAGTTCTTCTATTGCAACTTCTGGCTAGATTTTGATTTCACTTACTCCATTTTATACCATGTTTACCTTACATCTAATCTGGTTCTGTGTTATGCAAATTTATGGGAGATTTGGAATAAATCCCTTTGGTTTACTTGCTGTTGATGATGTCATGTTACGAAGGAATGGAGAGAAAATTTCTGAACTAATCCAAAGGAAATTCCACTGGCCAGGATATTCATTTTGATGCCAGACCTGGCTACAAGAGATCAGAATCAAGCCAATCACTGGTGACTGTCAGGGTAAATGCTGCAGATGTAGCTCACAGGTCTACCACAAAGTTGGTCTATAACCACTGCTTCTGGGTCTCTGTTGTCCTAATGATAAAATTAATTTTCTATTTGTTATTGTGTGTAGCTAACTTGTATAAAAGTTTTGGTGATTTTTGTTGTTGTTGTTTTAAATAGAATTGGTCTCTGACAAGTATAAAAGCCCAAATCAATGGAGATGTGTGCTTTCAGTAGAGAATTTTGTCTGTCTGCAAACTAAGGAATTGCATTTAATGCAGAACGTTTCTATTTGAATGCTGCTGCACGAGCTGAAACTGACTTGTCTTCTGAGAAGATTTTGCCTTCTTTTCTGGAATTTCTGGCAAGACTTGGTTTCTAATGATGTACTTCATTTGCTTCCCTATGTGAGGAGATCATGATGTGTCTCAGGAGACGTGGAAGTACAATTGTAAATTCAAATTATTTGGGGCACATTTTTCTATAGTTGAATTATTGATCTCACTATTATCCAAGGTAGCAGAAATACATTTTCTAACTAGCAATAGTAGTAATATATACTGTAAAATGTAATAAATAAACACCTTTTTAATTTTATTTTTTATTTTTACAAAGAGTTTTGAAATCCTGGGATAACTGTTGAGTTTGCTGTAAAAATAACCATGTATGCCATCCAATCCTTTAAAAATTGCAGCCAGTCCTTCTGGTGTTAGTGAACAGATCATCTTAAGTATTGATTTGTAGGCTTTCAGGAGTGTTTTTATTTTGCTAACTTTGATGTAGGTGAATCAGGAAATGGGACAGTTAATAGAAAAGAAGTGCTGAAATCAAAGGGGAAATGAAATCCCTATATTTACTGTCTGGCCTGCTGCACACAAACCATACAAATCAAAACAGGTGGATTTTGGAAACTTTGACAGTGGAACTTCCAGCCTGTAAAGGCTGTGTCTGTTTCCATCCATGCTGGCAGAAATGTGAGGACTAATTCTTAAATCAGGGCTGTTCGCTTCTGTCACTTTAACTTTCAGACATGGGAATTTAATTGTGAGGGAAAGTTTGGTGAATAGAGACATTAACAAGAATAGATGGGAAAAGACAGACTGCTATTTGAGTATCACAGTTAGCTGGAAACAGTTTTTGAAAGTCTACATCAGGTTTGAATTTGGGCGAATGGTAGGTCATGTTTGTGTTAGAGGAAGAAAAATGAAACTTAAAGAAAACAAGACCTGTCAGATTGAAAGGGTCTCTGCTGAGCTTAGGTTTCATTTTTCGTTTAGTGAAATCCCGGGAGACGTTCACTGTCTTGATGCACTATTTATTTTTGTGTCTGTGTGCCCTAGGATGGAAAATGTAGGCACCAAGAGAATGGTGTGAAGCACTGCATGTCTCACTGCAGTGGCAGGAGAAAGGTCTTGTCCCGTTTCCAGGACTTCTGGTGCAGTTAACGGGGGTGATGTTCAGCCTCGTGCATTAAGGCTGTGGAGGTGAGGCACCAGGGGACCTTGAGAGGGTCCCCAGGCAGCACCGAAATTTCACCCAGGTCATTCAAGAAAGGCTGAATCACACGAGTCACAGCTCCATCTTACACTAAGCAAATTATAAGCATTGCTCATGTTAGTGGTATTTTGGTCGCTGTGTGCTTCCCTGCTTGTCAGCATTCAGCATGCTCTTAGGCTATGAAGCACTTAAAGGGTTAATTTCGTGGTGGAATGGTTGAAAAGAGTAAACTGGAAATTCTTCTGCCCAGTAGCTGAACCTCTATATAACTTACAGGTTTGTTATGCTGGGGTTCTGGCATCTCCTTCCAGCACCTTCTTTCCAAATAAAAAATTACTCACAGGTATTTCCATTAAGGATGATGAGACTTTTTTTCTATCAACTTCAGGGGAAGCAGAGCTAGTCTCATGCCAATGTTTCTGAGAAATATCCTTTTTTTTTTTTTTTTTTTTCTTTTTTTGTCTGGTCAGATATGGGGTTACAGGTCTGGGCCACATTTTCTATGGCTAGGCCAACAGAAATCTTTACTTTCTCTTTGAATTCCAGTCAAAACAGTTTATTAAACACAGGAACCTGCCCTGGGAGATTTGCAGCCTCAGCTTTGAAACACTGAGCTTGTTCAAGAGACTTCCAAAGTGAAATAGGATAAAAATTTGATCTGGAAGCAGTGTAAGACTTAACAAGCTCTCTCTTTTAAACCTCCTCATTGCTAGAGCTGACAGAAAAGGGGAAGGCTATGAGAGGGTTACTCTACCTGCCTGCCAAGCCTCCACGTCCCAGGCTCTCAGAAGAATGTGCACCCCAGGTGTTACAAATAACATTCCCCTCTTGGGGGCTGATATATTGCAACATAGCAAAAAAGAAATCCTTGCAATTTTTTTTTTCCTTTCCAGCTTTTTTGGCTTCTACCTTTTTGACCTGGATGGTCACAGACAAGGGTTAGGTGTCCACGTTCCTTCCCCATCATGTTCACTGCTCAGCCTTACCAAGAATCTTTTCTGGACATCTTTTCAAGATCTCCAGGTCTTGTCCCTTGTGAGACAAAACCCTCCCTGGCACAAGTACCTGATGCAATGAGGTGCCCCAATGACACTTTGCCCACTCCAGTGTCCTCCACGTGATGCAGAAGCAGCTGTAGCCACTTCTGGCAGCAGGCAGAGAAACACTTCAGCGATAATTTTGTTTTTAAATCTTTTGTGGGCCTGATTCCTGATGGATGGATGGATATTTTTACTGCTGGAGTTGCTGAATGCCTTATGGCTTGTATGTATAAATGTGCTGTGCTTTCAACTGCATGTGTAAATTCATTCCAAAGCAGGTTGGGAATGATTTACAGCCACAATTAATGCTGGAATAAAAGACCACATTCAGGAAAAAGCAATGAACAACTAGCCTAAGAGCACTGCTCAAACTGTTTGTCTTCTAATGCTACTTCTCTATAAATACTGAATGTTTAGTCATAATAAAGACTTTTTGTTTGTGGCACTTGCTCTCGTAACTGTTGGCAAGATTAAAGTGGAGCAAGGGCCCCTGGTCTTGTATTATACATTCGTAAGCTGAGAGTTCTTTCCAATTTCCCTTTGCTCCACCTTGCTGTTTCCTGATTTACAATGATTCTTAAAACATGCCTCGAGCACAGATCCTTCTGGGCATTGTGGAGAGAACTGTAATGGGTGGACTCCTATTTTTGCTTTTTATCCTGTTAATATAGATGCACAATGTGAGGAGATAATGCAGGTGGGGAGGCATCTTAAGAGGGCTGAATGGAGGATTTTGAGCAAGCAATCAGACTGCAAAGATGGAGAAGTACATGTTAGGAAGGGTGTAAGTGTCAAGCAAGATGAGTATGACCTAGAGATGGAAAGAAGGGAAGCGTCCAGTGGAGGAGATAATATTTTATTTTTTTTTTTTTTACAAATCTTTATTTTTGAAACAAAGGCTAAAAAGAAGAAGCATAAAAACAGGGGGAAATGGAAAGATACGCTTTCCTAGCGAAATCAGAATTGTTCTTCAAGGCATCCTCTGTGCAGCAGTCATTGCTTTACCTTTCTTCACTTCCCAGCAATGGCCAGGACTCCCGACATTCCACACCTACAGATCCCCAGCCTGTTGACCATGGAGTGAAACTCCTTTCTTCAAAGCATTACCTTTGCACAGATGGGTTTTAGATCATTATCATTTATATTGCTAGCATACCTAAAACCCACATCCAAGCCTGCAGTCGTACTGACCTGACCTCCACTCAACCTCACGAAGAACAGCCTAGATGAGTTTTCAAGCAAAATAAAGGAACCAGATGTGTACATCTGGGGAGAGGAGAGGGAAATGAAGACACAAGAAAGTGAAATGAGGTGCCCAGATCTTGTGGCAGAACTGTGGCTGTGCCAGGGATAGAGCCCAGAGCTGTGCCTTAGCCACTGAGCCAGAATGTCTTATAATAGCAACCCTTCTGCAGTGAGCTCTGTCCTATTAGACACAGGAGGAAGAAAAGGAGTGAAA